CAACGATTCAGAGAAATGAAGCCAAAAGAACAAAGCAGACAGCAAAGTAACCAGCATTTTCAGCAAATGTTCAGCTTGTGGTAGGCACTGATATCTGAGTAACAATGTTCTGCGTCTCTGTGGACACAAACTAACCTTTACCCTTCAATCTACCATCAGCCTCTCCCCACATAAAACCTGTGTCCCATGCTCACCTACTAGAAACTGATTTGCGATCACTGAAGCTAGGTATACACGGGTAGAATTCTGTTCAAAAAAGGTTGTTTTTTCCCAGAATGTGTTAGTCCAACATTCTAAAATTTAATGGGGTCACATCAATTATCATTTGTAACTACAAAACAAAAACAATTTGCAGGACCAAGAAGGAAAATGTGTTTGACACGGGCACATATGCAGCTGACAAAAGAAAAACCCACAGGGCTCACTATATATACTGAAAATGCTTACTGATACATTTAGTTCCTCTTACACAGTTGCTGTGCTTCCTTTATGTAGAACAGCAGCAAACCTAGATTGTAAAAGGAAGTTAAAAAAAGAAAAGAAAAAAACCCAGCAGACCTCAACTGTTCACTAGGGTGCAGGGCGACAAAGTGTCAACGACATAAATCAAGATACGAAGAAACCTTACTGAAAGTGTACAACACTACAAAGCATATAAAACAAAGATGTCTTTTCAGACACATTTTCATAAGAGGATTAAGTTCTAATAACTCTTCAGTAATAATAAAGAGCTACGGATGTGTTAACAAGTCAGTTCTTAGCTTTTCGGAACAACTTGTAAAACGAATACCTTTCATCCAATATAAATAAACCCCGCCTGAGTCTACCCGATAGTAAAAGGGCGTAAAGTGCACCCAAAGACAAAGCTTTTTTGTCAACAACACCTTAGGTTTCTTTGGCTGTCTCTGTCCCTGCTAGGGAGGCTCACCCAACTATTGGTCCTGATGACTGTTGTTTACAAGTGATGGGAAATTCAAACTCTAACAATTGTAGCTACAACAGGGAAAGAGGGGGAAATCTTTCAATCAGGACACTTCTTGTTGTATCTCTAAAACAGGAAGTGAAGAGAAATCTCCCCAATAGGATACATATGGTAAAAAGAAAACGTGAGAGGGGTTTTGCCTTTCCTTGTTCTATATAAAACCCCCAAAAATGGTTTTAAATATGCACCAAAGCGGAATCAGCTGAGATTTGATCCATGGGTGGCCCAGCTTGCACCACCCTGCTAAACAAATTGACTTTTTCTTGAAGGAACCGGGTTTTAAATATTCTCTGCCGAACTGTTACAGAATGTTTACAGCCGCAGGCACCTACTGTCAGAATACCATAGCTGCCAGGAGACTTGCCAATTTCCACGTACATTAGCATAAAACGGGAAATCGAAGGATTTCTCTTGAACTAGAAAAACCCTAGAGTGGATGGCCAGCCTAATTACCATATTTGACTATTTGTTATATGGCATGCAATAAGGATTATTGAAAACAGAGCCAATGTGATACAAGAAATATCAGCCGGGCATTTTAAAAGTTCTGAGTTGAATCATGTTGCGGAGTTTGCAGTGAAGTTTAATCTACACAGCCATCAGGCCCCTTCCTGTCATTGTGAAAACTGAATACTAGTTGATCACAATTAGTAGATGTGCCAAAAACAACCCCAAAGCAAAATAAAACACATCTCTATTGTGCAAAAATACTATACATAAAAGACATTGAGTGGAACTTATCAAAACTGGAGCAGTTGCCCCTGGCAACCAATCAGCTTCTCTCTTTAGTTTGCTCAGGTAAGATTTGAAAATGAAAGAGAAGCTGATTGGTCGTCGTGCACAGCTGCTCCAGATTTTGTCTGCTCCAGTTTTGATAAATTCCCCACAAAGACTTGTAGAAGCACTACTGATGAGAATTCAAAAAACTTCAGTGAAAGACCACGGAACCAGATGAAGCAAACTGGGATCACCCACACTAGCCAGTAGTAGTCACTTATATTCACAGGGCTTGTCCTGTCAGGTTGATGCTTCAACACTCATGTCTGTAGCCTCCTCATTTCTCAATGTCAGGAACATACCACAATCTTTAATCCAAATCACCACAGACTGTGTCAAGGCAGATTGTCCAGGAACACATCAGGAGGAGATGTTAAAGTCCATGAAGCCTCAAGCATTCCATCAAGTCAAACAGTCACTATCTACCCTGACATACTCCATGGAGATTATAACAAAGCATACTGAACACCAAAAACTAAAATATAATACAATGCAGTTTGATAGTCTCATAGATGTGGTGACTGTGTTAGTTTTCTTTTTTTTCAGGCTATTATCTGTTCATTTTCACCTGTACACTTAGTGCAGAAAACAATTATTTTCCCTGAGAGGCTACACTCACTCTTCCACCACATTTATGGAGGGAGCCATGACTGTCACCCCGACTGAACTTGAAACACATCTCCCTTTGTTCATCTCCATTACATGGTGGTGGGGAGATCAGCAAGTCACAGAAAGAGGATCAGATTGTTTTACGCTTTCAGTTGACCTCACGGGAAGTGACAAGGACACTGCATTTCTGGCAAGATCTGCAGGTATTTCCTGTGCAAGCTAAAAATGTTCTTAGCCTGAACATGAATGCAGCCCCCACATCTAAGGACGAGTAATCTGCAACATATTTCACTTTTGTTCTTGGGTTTAGTTATATTTTGAAGTGACCGAGTTACCTGAATATCTATAAATGCTGGCTATGTTCCAGACACTAATCAGATGAGCAGTGACATGAATTTAAAGTGTATTTCCACTTCTGCAGTCAAATTTGTTACATGTTTGTGTGTTCCTAGTCACACAGCATAGCTAAAAAATATAGCTTTTTAAGTATTTCTGCTCTTTCTAGTTTTCCTGAAGCAGTTTGTACTACGAGGTAATCTGAGAAACTTCAAAGTGTAATGATGGGGGGCACAAAAACTGAGGATAAGTGCGATCCTTGACATTTGTAACCCTTTGTTAGGACTAGAGGTGCACCGAAATGGAAATTTTAAAACCGAAACAAAAACAAAAATGTTAGGCTGAAACCGAAAATGTTTTTTTAACTGTCCTCAATTATGTACAAACACTCAGCGATCACTGACACTCCGACACGCTGTCACAGGAGGCTGATCGAGCGGTGTAGAGAGGAAAGTCCAGCCTCCTGTGACAGCACTGTCTCCGCCCCCACAACGCTCAGCCGGACTGTGATAGGCGGCAGAGCAGTGTGGGAGGAGACGCCGGCCGCTCGCAGCGCTCGGCCGGCTGTCACTTTCTCTTCTCCCCGCTGGGACATAGAGCAGCGCCCAGCGGGGAGGAAAGAAATCAGGGGTGCGCCGATGTATCGGCAGAAAAATGGCACTTTCGGCATTATGCCAAAAGTGCCCTTTTCGGCCGATATGTTTCAGCGGCCAATATATCGGCGCATCCCTAGTTAGGACAGTGTAAAAATCTAGTTTACAGCTGAAAAACAGATCTGTCAGCACAGCAAAGCACAGACAGGGTTAATTCTTGTAAACATCAACTCTGCAGCCCCCTTCTTACTAAAGAACTCCAGTAAAGTTATGTTTATTTATAACTTGCTGACTTCCTAATATGTCTGTGAAGGTTCTCATTCATCCAGGTCATGGTATATCTGTAAAAAATAAATCAAGGCATTTTTATTTTTCTTGAGACGTTTCGATAGTCATCATCATCATCATCATCAGAGAGAACTAGTCAGATGACCAGCAAAACGTCTTCAAGAAAAATACAGCAAGTCCAGTTGCCTTGATTTATTGTCACAGATACTTAATAGGTAAGTGCACCGAGGTGTATGCCACCCCATGGATCTCTATCTTTTGGTTACAGTGAGTGCGAATAGTACAGCTTCTGCTATAGACCCGTCACTCCAACATGAGAGATCTGGCTCTCCTACAGCTGCACTGCCCGCCCCTGCTCCCCTCTGTCCATTCACAGAACACTGTGTAGTTTGTTAATAGGTTAAGTGGAAGTGTGATTGGACAATGGGTGAGCGAGGGACGGCCAGACAACATGACAGTTGCTGTGTAAGAGATCTGAAGGTCTAGTTTCGGAGCGTGGAACGTATAGCAATAGCTGGACTATCAAAGAGAGAGTACTATCAAATAAAGAAGAGAGTGGTCTAAGGGGTGGCATACACCTTGGTGCATTTAATAGTAAGCCAGCAGATTTTAGATACATTTTCCCTGGGGTTCTTTTTTAACATGTAGGATTGTTAGCAAATTAAATATAAGCAGCAATGTTTACATATTGTTATACGAATGGGAAGCTGTAATACATATAAAGTGGTTGTGATCCCAATTTGGCTCCGATTTTACAGACAGGTAAATACCATCTATACCCCGACCTGAACAAAGGAGAACCCTGACTGACATCAGACACACCAGGTCACTGTATACAGAGATTTACTAAGCTGATCTGATGTATTCTAGCTCCCGGTCTGCCTTTTAGGAGCCATACATGCACACACAGAACATGAATGAGATCCTCCTGCCACCTCGACACATGTCAAGGTATGCAGATGCTGTGATCTGGCTGGGCCTGCCCTTCCCTCCCACCATAGCAGGCGGGGACATGCAGGAAGACATTAACCCGTGCCCTGCCAGAGCACAGCAATGAAATCCCACTGACATATGAATGAGATGTCAGTGAATGGGAGGCAGAGTGCCCACAGATGGGCCTACAGGGTCTACATTGCACATGAAGGAGGGGTGGGTGGGTGACACATGCTGATGAATGAAATGACATGTAAGCCCCGGCTGGCAAAGGAATGCAGCGATGACACAGAGCGGGGTGGGTACAGCCCCTCTATGGAGGATGCGGCAGAGCGGTGCTAACACGGGCACTGCACACACTCACAGAGCCGCTGATGCCGGTACAGGGTGGACCACTAGTGATGGTGGGTGTGAGCTCCTCTCTCAGAAATAAGGGTGGTGACAACCAACGCCCAGCTTTACCCGGCTTCACGGCTACTCACCCCCGTCCCGTTGTCGCACACCACCACCTTCCTGCCTTGGCTGTCCATGTCGGTGCCTCCGCCGGAGCCGCCGAGCTCTCAGTCACTGGCTAGACCGGAAGTGCGTCCCCCGCCCGACACCAATACTACTTCTCCTTCTCCTCCGGTAGGTGGGAACACGTGATGTGTCGTGTCACTGGCAGTCTCCGCCCGAACGGCCAATCAGGATGTTGCATGGGATTCTTGCGGCTTAGGCGGGGGAGCGGAAAGAGTGGTTGGCCGGTGAGGAGAGGAAGCCGGAAATTAATTCATCTAATGTGGATGCGGCCGGCGCCATCTTGGTTAATGGCAAAGAAGAAATCTCATTCTGAATAATTTTATGTAGAATAACATAGATAAATAACTTTAATGTGTTTTTTTTACAGGATGAATAGAGTTTGATGTGTGTGGCCATCCTCATTGTAGGTTCTAAGGTATAGTAATGTTCAACAGATCTGAGCCAAGAATGAGCGTTCAGTACCCATAATCCAGTGAAAGCATTCCAGGCAGAGTTCTGTATGAGAAGCGTGATATAGCTGAGCGGTGGACACAGGTTAAAGCTCATCCCCCAGCCTTATAACCTACAGGCTCCTCCCCAGTACAGATTGCTTACTCTGATTTCACTGCACTATGTGAGCTGCCCATAGTGTGCATTAGAATATGCAGAGTCAGATAGAGTCCCTCACTTCCTGTCTGGAGGATATCCAGCATCATCTAGGACTTTCCTCCCCAGCCCTTGATGTCCCTGGCCCGCCCCTTTCATTCATTGGATATCAGTTCTCTAAATCATGACGGCTCGACATTTGGGCTTTACCTAGGGAAGTCTGCATGCAAATACAGTCTGCCTAAGGACATCCACTCCTCCAGATTGACATCCACCCATCTGATGCATTCGGTTATTTGAATAATGCCTCCAAAGAGCTACCCCACTGCTTACATCAAGGCTAAGGGGTTTTCGAGAGGAGTACAGAAGCAGGATGCTGTGATATTTTCTGGAAGCTATGTACTGCACCCTTCCGGCCCCTGCCACCAGCCATGATCGGCCAGCATTGCATAGAGGAACACAGAGACCCGATGATCATATTATTGGGTGTAAAATAAAATATGTAATTAATAAATTAGTGAAATGCTGATTCTGGATAGCAAGTATGATGGGATTTCCTGTAACTTTCCTGGTATCCCTGGATATCTCCTACCTTTTTCACCTGTTTGGTGATTGTGAAATAGCCCTTGAGTGCAAGGAGTCCGTCATATCTGCAAACATGAAATTACCTCCAACCTTCCTGATGAAGCACATGCAGCTGCGAAACGCATCTTAGGCTGGGCACACACCTTACAACCATCGCAAGACTTTTGTCTTGCGATGGTTGTAAGGTAATTAAAAAAATGTACGATCTGCCCATCTTGGACAGGCAGATCGTACTTGCGATGATCGTAAGCCCGCCCCGCTGAGGGGTGGGCTTCCGATGACTGCAATGCCGAAAGGCTTGCGCACACCGGCTCCTCCGGCTTTTATCTTACGAACATGCTACACATTCGCCAAAAATCGTACGATTCTCGGCGGGTTTTCGACATGTTCCTAAGATAAAAGTCGTGCAACCTTACAGTAGTAGAGGTCGCACGGCTTCCACACACCTTACGATAATCGTATGACATTCTGTAACTGTGTCTTTGAATCATGTTGATTGTAAATTAATAAAACTTAACTTTTTTATAAATATTTAAACTCAGCACAGCTTCCAGCTTGCTGCCCGAGCAACGCTTGCTATCGTGCCCCTGGTGTGCTTTTCTGTTATGCATTCGGCATCTTATCCATTGATTCCTATATACCGATCCTTGGCTTTTCTTCCTGCCTATCCATGTCTGCTGCTGCCATGACCTCTGGCTTTTATTCCTGGTTATTTGTGTCTGCTGTCTGCCCTGACCTCTGGCTTGTTTCCTGGTCAGCATACCGTAAAGGAGACGCTATTGAATACTGGCTGGCCCATAAGGTGCCCATACACTTTACAACCCTCGCAAGACTTTTGTCTTGCGAGGGTTGTAAACTACTTAAAAAAAACGTACGAAGACATGCTCGAAATACAAAAGTTTCTACTGTACGGTCGCACGCCTTCTATACACTGCACGATTCTCGTACGATCGTGGGATTTCCTCGAGAATCGTGCAGTGTATGGGCACCTTTATACTCTGCTCCATGACCACAAAAGACTGGGCCCAAATCTAGAGTAACATTTCTAAATGTTCCCAAAACCCTGCTACAGTGGAAGAAAACTACGGGCTGCTACTCTATTGGTATCTAGTCACACATCCTTACTGTGGCTAAAAGGGTGATATCCTAAGCTGAGAAAACCCCAACTCTATCCTTTATGAAATTCAAATACACGGAATCCAACTACAGGCGATTTACTAAGGACTAAGGGCTTGTTCACACGATTTTCTGGTCCAGATCTGGAGACGCGGTGCTATGCATGCAGTTTTTGATGTGTTCCAGTTAAAAAAAATATATATAATTTTTTTTTTGGAGTGGAGTATGTTAGTTGCAGTGCAGTGTGTTTTCGGCACATTTTAGTTGCGTTTTTGAAGCGTTCGTGCATTTCCGGACCGGACAAAATGTGACATGCAGTATTTTTTCTGTCCGGACCGGAACGGACTGCGCTTGTGAGAACTGTAGCCCATAAAACACATAGGGATACATTGGGATGTATTTTGGGTGCATGAGCGCACGGATCTGGTCCGGACAGAACCCGGACGTCCTGTGAATAAGCCCTGAAGCATCTTCTCTTTACAAAAGGTATTTCCCTTACTTTATTGTAAATAAGAAAAAGCTGTACTGACTTCTATTATCCAATCATGTTCAAGCAAAAATCCTGTTTTTTTATTTTCCTACCGTAGTAAGAAATTGTGAATACTTTGTAATGTAAATTTTCACAACATTTACTAAGGTAAGTGAAAATTCCCTGCCAAAGTGACAATTCGCTTTTCCCTCTTCCCTTCCACTTTCCCGTGTCTTTCTTTCTCTTTTCTTCTCTGCCACTGCACGCTGAAGGGCTTTTCCCCCAGTTCACCTGCACACATACATTTTTATTTTTTTTCGAGAAATCTAGCATATTCCTTCATCCACACTAAACAATGCGAATGAATGAATCTCCCACTGCAACTACTGTATTCATAAAGGTGACTGCAGCTGATTGGGTCCAGTCACTGATCAGCCGAACATTTTCATCCCAGCTCCTTCGATTGAGTAATTGACTTTTGTCGAGCCGCCAGGTCCACTCACTGTAATAATTTTGGCCGAATTCTGTTAACTGGTCAAAATTCTAGAAGTATATGGCCAGCCTAACTTGCTAGACTCGTATAAGAAGTTACTGTGTAACTACTTCGTCTGTCAAATAAATAATGTTAAATATGAATGTTGCATCTATCCTGCATTCAGGGACAATCATCTATCCCAAACCGCAGGTCACTCATTCCATATGCAGTTACATCCAGGTAGAAACGTATCTGCAACATCAAATTGCGCCCCTCGCATCCCAACCAGCTCCTGGCAACCAATTACATGACTGGTTGTCAGGAGCTGGGCGGGTCGACAACTAGAGCGTCCCAGGTTGATAAGAGTTGGGCGGGGAGATGTGTAAGGGCCATGCACATCTCCCACCCCACTCTTTGCAACCTGGGACGCTCCGGCCGGTATCCCGTCCAGTTCCCAGATAGCAAGGATAACTTGCCACAAACTTGTGTCGGGGTTAAATTGTAATTTTGTTAACTTGCTGCACACATTCCTGGCAAGTTGTAGACTTCCAGAACACTCGCAGCACAAGTTCTAGTTGACACTTTTTGAATTTGTAGCAAATTTGCTTGGCAAGTCTACAGCAAGAGTCCTGCAGGTCTTAGCAAGAGCTCTGCAAGCTCGCTGGTCTGGAGACTTGCAATGCAGACTTGCTGTAATTGTGCAACAAAATTGTGAAGCTTGGCAAGTCTGCAATAGTTTAGCAAGTCATTTTCAAACTTGCAGCACAATTTCTTGCTATCTGAGTTCCTGGCAACTAGTGACATCACTGGCTGCCAGATGCTGAGTGGAATGCTGGCCCTCTGGCACACTCTTGTCCCTTGTTGCTCAGAGCTGGGCAGGGAGATCTATATGGAAGAAGGGTGGGGGAGAATAAAAGTCAGCTATCTCCATGGGTCGGTGAACATTCGCTGACCCACGGAGTGGTTCCCCCCCTTCAAGTGGCATGTGCCATACCCTGGATATGCCACTGAATGCAGACTGCTGCAGACAGGAAGTGTCTGTTAGAGGCTGGAGGAGATCCTAGCACTGAGATGCAACAAAGAACAGAAAAAAGGTGATACTTCTAGCTAAGACATTAATTCGATTATCAAACAATTGTTTTATTTAAGACATCATTTAAATAACGTGTTGTAATTAATGGTAAGACTCCCCCAGGCTTCATCCTAGGGGAGACAGCGGTGTTCAACTGCAAAAAATCTGACCGGCCAAGAGGTGTCTACCGACAGTTGCCTGTCAGGTGATGATCATCTAAAGCTGGCAATACAACTATAGATTTTCTGCAGATTTTCTACGGAAAAAGTGCAACAGATTCCGAGGAGGAGTCTGTTGCACTTTTTCCATCTGACCATAGAAAATCTGCACATAATCTATAGGTGTATGGCCAGCTTTATACAGGAAGGTATCTTTAGAAACTAATCATGTATTCAGCAGCAAGAATATGCATTCCTACTGGAGAGGGACTGTAAAACTCTTTTACAGAGGGCTGAATTTCAAAGGAAATGTCTGTTAATTACAATAGGATTCTTGGTGGTCACAGCTGATTCTGATTATCTACAAGCTATACTACTTCTGCCTGGGAGCAAACTACAAGATTGGATATCAAAGAGACTCATTAATTACCAGCTTCCATCTTTTACAGCAGTCTTGCCTTCTGGAAACACATTTTCCTTTTTGTTTTTGTTTTACCAAGACACAAAACTAACATTAAAAAGACCTTGTTGAATGTTTAAAGGCAGTCCCTAGTATAGGGTGTATTTGTCATGTTCAGCACAGATGTTTGCTGTGACAAACATATAATAAGGGAAGGATACAATTACAGATAGAAGATTATATCCCTTATGCCAGGGGCAGGCAACCTCAACCTTCCATGAGTCATAATGACATAATGAGGAGC